GACTTTCTAAGCAAACTTTGTAGAATGTACTATTCTTCTTAATAATAACTTTAATAGATCATTCAATTAGCTCTTTTAACTTCTTACATATAGAAATTTTAGAACCTCATAAATACTAGACCTAACAATTTGGATCTGTACCCATAAAAATAATATAAGGTTACCGGTCCATGATTTAGGGTTTCTTATTTTTTCGACCGGTACTTGACCCGACCCTTTTTTGTGGGTGGGCCGGGTATACCGGCAAGTACCCATAAAAAAAAAATTTTGAATTGGCCTAATTCCTAAATCTTATCACCATTTCTAATCTCCATCTTCTCTTTAGCTCTCATTCTCAACCTCCTCTTCCTTCTCCTTTCTTCACCCTCTGTCAACATCCCAAGTCTCTCTTTCTTCTCCACTTTAAACAACTATTTCTCTTCTCCACCTGATTTTATATGAAGTAAAATAAAGTCTTTGTAGTGAAGTCGATATCGGTATATTGCTTTCAATAATCAAGCTAACTTGTACAAAGTTGATCAAAATCCTCTTGCAAGTTGCTTGATAGCTGTGCACTGGTTGATCTTGAAGAATTCTCTTTCTTGCAAAGAATCAAACTACGTTTTGTAGGTCTCTTCCATGGCAACCTCTTTGTAAATTACACCAGATTGTGTTTTTGAGGTCTGTACCAATTTTCCTTTTATCAAATAAGAATGCCTCTAAAAATGCTTTTATATTAAATGGTAAAATATGTAGTAGTTGAAATGAATTGGGACGAGTTGATTGTGGGGTGTAACTATAAAAAAAATGAAAACTGCTGAAATTGTGGGGGTGTAATTGTAAAAATTAAAAATTGGAGTGAATCTTGGGTCTGCCTATACCTGCATAGGGCAGAATACAGGTTTAATATTTTGGAACCGTTTAGAACCAACCTATTTTGGGCCTATAACCATTGGGCTCGGCCCGTGCCCACCCGACCCGCATGTTTTGCTGGGTCTGACAAATACCCACAATATTATAAATGACATTTAAAAATTTAACGACAAAGGGCTTTATGAATATCTCTGAAACTTAAGGGGGAATATTAATATTTTGTCAACAACAAATTTTATTATATTTAAAGTATATCCTCAAAAAAATTCAATTATTATTTTTTTCTAAAAACGAAAATTTAACTAAAAGAAAATATTTGTTGTGGTCATAATTTAATGAAAAACATTTCACAATTTTCAAATTTTGCTATCATCTTGTTTGCCACCATAAGATCAAGGATGCATGTCAAAAATTCTAAAACACTCTCATTACACAAACGAAACGGGAAAACAAGTTAGATGTTGAATATTGGGTATTAGGAGACACTCTTTTCAACTTAAAAAAGCTTTCAATTTTCAAATAATTAAACATTGCTAATTATGCGAACTCTTGATCCAACTTCTTCGGAAAACATTTATATTGATTCTCAATGTTTAAAAATGCTTTAAGTGGACCAAAAAATAAAAATAAAAATTATAGATCAAATATTAGTTTGTAGTAAGAATCAAATATTTGTGGGCAAATATGTTATTATTATTTTATTTTTTTTTGTAAATAATTACAAGACAATTTCACAAAACATAGAATATGTGTGTTATATAGAGACTCTTGGGTGTATTAATCAAGAGATCTTAAGTTCGAGTCTCTCTTCGGTTGCTAATAGGGGTAGCCACTGGAGCTCTTATCTGACTGGTAGTTCTAGGGTCATGAGAGATTAGTTGAGATGCGCGTAAGTTGACCAATCATAAAAAAAATGTGTTTTTTAAAACAACTAGAAAACTTTGACACTATTATTGACTTTTGGTTTTGCACTTTGATTTCAATTTGATTAACTAACTTCATGCTGCAACGTGGACTTTATCACAAGTACATAGAGTACCAAATAATTAGTTAATTAGAAAAAAAAAAAAAAAAAATTTGCTTATTAACAACCAATCATTTATCAACTACCAACTAAATATGACCGTATACATCAACCAAGCATGTATTACCTCTCAATTAATTGAGTTTTCAACTAAGTGATTAACTCACCTATAATATAACACTTGAGACCTAATCTTCGTGAGCACAGCATAAAGTGAAAACAATTGATGAGATGGGAGTAGATTTTCAAAATCCGACATTGCCTTAACGTTCTTAATAAAACATAATTTATTAGATTTTGTTAGTTTGTGGATAATATGTTTTAAATAATTAGGGGAAAATTGATATATGACTTGACATGTTACTTTACTAATAGATATGGTAATTTAATAGATATCATCATTTATCTTATCATACCCATGTTATCACTTTTGTTTTCTGACTCTAATATTATCTTGTGGTTTACTCTTACAAAGTTTGTGGTTTGAAGTTTGAACCCCCTTCCAGACACCTACATGATTAAAAATCATTGTTTCTCACTTCTCAACAATAGTAGGGTTCAACGGCGGCTCCAATTTCAAAGTCAAGCTCGTGACGTAGGTGTTAGGGGATTTTCGGATTCTCAAAAAAAAAAAAAAAAAAAAATCCTAAACACAAATTACTAAAGAGCAGAAAATTTTAATTTTGGTAAATTGGAATATGAGCTATTAGCATGATATGTGCAAATAGCACCACTCTATTGAATAATTTTGTTTTATTAAATCCTTGTCCGTTTAACGGTTTAAGTTAACAAGAGGAATCAAATTGCATCAATGGCTTTTATGATCAACTTGGATGCAATTTAGAGTCGGGGAATATTATGACAAAGATGAGGGAGGCTTGTGATAATCCTCCTAAAAGAATCATAATATTATATCAAACAACTTCTAACTACTATTCTACCACCAACCATTTCCAAATTCAAACCCACATTTATGTTTTATTTTTTTATTATAAAAACAAAATACAACCTTCATACGAACCCTTGAAAACATTATATTAGATAACTGTTAACAACCAATATACGAAAATTTGTATTTCTACAAAAACCCACATTTATACATACATACCAACAATAAAAATCATATAAACCAATAATTTAGTTGTCTATTTTCACTTATAAGTCCATATTTTAGATAAAACTATATATACAAAAAATCTGCAATCATACATATTTTTATTTTTATTTTTATTTTGTACATTAAAAACGAAAAATAACTTTTGTTTAAAAATAATCAATAAAGATTAGCTTACAACCCAATCTCACAATCCCGACGTAGTAGCCCGCGATTGGTCAGACAAGAAAATTCATCAGAAACCAATTACGAGCTGTCACGTCGGAGTTATGAGAGAAAGTTTGAGAGATTGAGATGTAAGTGTAGTATTGCCCAAAAATAATAGGTTTAGGGTTGCCTATTCTTGGGTCGTTTGGATACATTAAACTTAATTTATACCTGGAGTCATAGTTTCGACAAGGCTAGCATGGGCTGTAGCCCAAACTAGTTTTAGAACCAAAAAAAAAAAAAAAAAAATTTGAAGTTAGTTATACAAAACAATTTAGTTTTTGGAAAACAATCATTAAGTTGTTATGAAGTGTTGATAAGTGATTATGTATAATTTTGATACAAAATTATTTTAAATTTGTTTATAATTTATGCTCACTTTGTAAATATTTATTTTTCCCTTTTTGTACCTCTTTGTATAACCTTTTAAACTTTTTTGACTATATTTTCAAGATCTTTTTCCAATTAATTTTGGAAAATGTTTTATTTTAGTGGATAAGGTTGATTATAATTTGCAAATGAGAGGTATACAAACTTCAATCAAACACGATACTTCTTAAATGTCAAAAAAAGAAAAAAAATGTCACCTTTATTTTCACATTCAATTCAATCGTCAATAACCCTATAAGACACGTCAAGCCTAATTTTCAGTTTTTATATTAAGGGTAAATTATTTTATACCCCTAATATTTTTGTCGAAAAACATAAGTTACCACTAGTTTCGAAAATCAACAACACTCAAAATATAAAGGTAGAAGGTAACATCTTTCTAGATATGTTAGAAAATTGAGAGAAAAGAAAAACACTTAAACTCTCTTTCTCCTTAAAACACGTGTGTAACAATGTCAAATCACAATTAAGAAAAAAGAACGAAAATAAGAAAAAATTCAATATAATAATCATGGCCAATCGTGACCTTTCCGTGAATGTTAAACGTTTAGTTTTGCACGACCATACTCAAAAGAGTTGTTGCGTTATTGATTTGTGTTTGAATTAGCGTGATTAGAAGGTGTTTGAGATGATTTGTCCTAGGTATTTTTAGGGTTTAGAGATTAATCTAGATTTTACTTTCAGAAAAAAAAAGTATTATCGCAAATGATTTTGTTTTGGAAATTTTTTAGTATGTTCTTACGAAGAATTCTCTATAATTTCTTTAGATACAGAGTAATACTATACTGACGAACTATTCTTATTAATATTTTTTCAAAAAATGCGACGTGTTAACTTGTAATAAGTCTCATCTGTCTAAAAATAGATCTCACCTGACCAAATACGAGCTGCCCATATCATATGTTTGTAAGAGAAAGTCAAAAGAAATGTTTATCAATTAATCTTAATATATATATATATATATATATATATATAACAACTTAAACTAAGGGTGAAATCGTCATGTTAACCCATCACAGGTCAACATTTAACTTACACGGATGAAGACTAACGTTTTGGGTGTCGTTGATAGCTTCTTGAACCAATGAGGGTTTCGAACGTCAACTAAACCATTGGGAGTGTTAGTGTAATTAACTGTTACTGAAATGATAGCTTAATATATATCCACCTAAAGGACTTTTCCAGAGCTTTCAAGGCATACCACTATATATAGCATCCTTTCATGCTTCATTTTAACATCACAATTCTTCTTTCAACCAAAATTTTCCCTAAATTCCTCTCAAATGTTAGCCATTACCATGATTAGAAAAATTCTTCTTAGACTTTCTCTTATTGTACTTCTCGCCGGAGTAGTGCTAAAATGCGTAAAGAGTGAAAATTGTGACTGTGCCCCAGACCAATGTTGCAGTCAATATGGCCACTGCGGCTATGGCGACTCCTATTGCGGCTATGGCTGCCAAGGCGGCCCTTGCTACAACGGAACCTATCCTTACGAATGCAATTGTGGTGAAGGCCTCTGTTGCAGCGAATACGGCTATTGTGGCTACGGCAATGCCTAATGTGGCCCTGGTTGCCAAGCCGGGCCTTGTTATAATAACACTTATCGGCCTGCTCCTTCTGATTATTGCAACTGTGCTAGTGATCATTGCTGCAGTCAACATGGTTATTGTGGCTCTGCTGATGCATATTGTGGCTATGGATGCCAATCGGGTCCTTGCTATCAATCTGCGAACCCTAACAATGTTTCTATAGAAGATATTGTGACATCGCAATTTTTCTATAGCATAGCTGGAAAGGCTTCGCAAAATTGTCCCGGGAAAGGGTTCTATACAAGAAATTCATTTCTCTATGCCACTGAATCCTTTCCTTTGTATGGTAGGGTTGGCACATATACTGATTCTTTGCGTGAAATTGCAGCTTCTTTTGCTCATTTCAGTTATGAAACTGGGTGTAAGTTCCATCTATCCTATATTTTTTTTTAATCGTTTCTCGACATATCACTTGTTCATTCAACACATAAACGTTGTCTTTACATAAAGTCTTAGATAAAACAAACATGTCACGCATGTTAATCCACTCTCTGTAAGATCATGTCACACTATAATTGGTAATTTGTCAAATCAATACTTACAAGAAGGATTTTATTGAATAGTTACATAAATATGTTATTTTTTAATTTCAAATATTTAAATTTATTAGTTTTTTTCTCTTTTGTGAACCTTATTAAATAGTATCGATAAATAGTTTACGGGTACCATCTAATACGAAAAAATAAAAGTTTAATAAGACTTTTCGTATTGAAAACTATATATATATAAAAAAAAAGGATTTTCAAATGTTTACAGACACTAATTCAGAGCTGTTATACAAGCAAAGTGATTTTTTATTTCAAATATATCAACTATTAACTTTTTTTTTTCTAACAAACCTCATTAAAAATATAATATTGATAAATAGTTTACTGATATGACCTAATACTAAAAAGACAAAATTTTAACCCAATTTTTTTTTTATTGAAAACTGTAAATTTCATTTTCTAATGTTTACTGACACTAATCCAGAGCCATCACCCGAAAATTTTATGTTTATTTGTAGGCTTTTGCTACATAGAAGAGGCGAACGGTCCTTCTAGAAGCTACTGTGACGACAGATATTCAGACTACTCATGTGTTAAAGGGCAATACTACTACGGCCGAGGACCAATTCAACTACAATGGAATTACAATTACGGCGAAGCCGGAGATGAAATTGGATTCGATGGAGTATCCAGTCCTTCAACAATTGCCAGAGACAACGTCGTATCGTTTAAAACTGCCTTATGGTACTGGGTTACTCGCCTGCAGCCGCATTTACAGCAAGGATTTGGGGCTACAATAAGAGCCTTTAAACCTTCAGAATGTAATGGAAGAAACCCTAACGCCGTTAAGTCTCGTGTTAATCTTTACACCAAGTATTGCGACCAACTTGGTGTTGATCCTGGAGATTCTCTCTATTGTTAGCCTAATTTGCCAGGTAAAATTAACGTGTCCTCTCAAGGTTGGAGAAGGGTTAATTTTTTGTCTTTAAATAAATATTAATGAATAAAGAGGACAATAAACAACGGCAACTAACTCTTGAATTATTAATTTATAACACAAGAAGAGAAGGCTTGTTCTTTTTGTAGCACTTTGTGTATTGAACCAACATTACATCAAGTTTTTTCGTCGATTATATGTATGAATAATTCAGAAGCTAAGAATATGTGCTATAAATTAATATGATTTAGCTAGTTGCAAGCTGATTGTCTTGTATATTTAAGAGTTTGTTTTCTGATCTTAAATTGTTGTGGCTTTGTTTGATTTGATAGCATGCTTACCCTTTGCTAAATGAGAAAGTGGATTAGATTCTGTAGGATTTTGACCCATATTTGTAGTGATGGGACTTAAGAAATGATGTAAATGAAAATGAATTGGAAGAATCTGTAGATTCTAGATGAACAAATTCAAACTTAGGGATCTTTTTAATTCTCTAAGGATAAGAGCCAAATGGGTTGATCGAGAACGATCTCTTATTACAAGAAGATCGATTGATTGGATCAAAACGTGTTGTATAAATAGAATAATCAAATTCCTTTGTGCGAGGTTAACTAAATAGTCAGGTCAAATAGTTTGCTCTCACAAGAACTAGCGTTTGAAACTTTGAATCACCTCTCACAGGCACCAAAACAACCAAAAGCCATTTGTTTCTTGTTTTTTTAAGACTGTAAAGTTCGGTAGGTGTTCTAGTTATGAACTCGGGTGTCAGAAAGCAAGTTCAAGTGATTTTTGAATTATCCAGGAAAAAAAAGAGTATATTGTAAGAATATTATCTAGCTATTAATTAGTTGAAAGCATAGATCTTCATTCTTACGTGGTTCGTGAAATGGTTAGTTTCAGTACTGGAGCTTCTAAATATTACAATAACAATAAAATGTTAATATAAAGTTTGCTTGAATGGCAACACAAGCATGCATTTTTTTCTTCCCCATGAACCTCTTGATTTTTTTCTCTTCAGCTGAACACAAAAGTTGAAGAAATTTCAACGAAAATAATAAGAGGGAAAATTCCTAATATCATAATGATATGGCATATGTGGAGATGCTTATATATCTAGAAGTAAATATTATTAACTTAAATTCTAAAGTAAAATCAAGAAGAAAGACAAAACTATAATGAAAAATAAAGAAATTAATTAACATTGATTAGGAGGAGAATCCCACCAAGTCAAGTCATGATATTGTTGTCAAAGATTAGATAGGGCTTTTAATCTATTGCATTTTTCTCTCTGCAAAGATATGATCAAAAAGATTAAAATTCAATTGACAAAATAATTTAATTAAAAGAATAAATATAAGATCAATTTATATTATACGTATTATGTATTATTTTAATATAGTACCCTTTTTAACTTAATTATTTTATATTTTTTCAAATAAAAAATATATAAAAATAAAACAACAGACCACCTGTATAACAAAGCATTTGAAATAGATCAAACGTGAAAACAATATTTTTTATGTTTTCAATTCCCTATTTTATTATAATTTTTCGTGTTGTCATAAGAAAGTGATAATAAATGTGTTTTTAATGTTATTACTTTGAAAAAAATAATAATAAATGTATTCTGAATTTTTGAAATTAAATAGAACAATTTAAACTTCTTATTTATATTTAAATTCATTTTTGAAAATAAAAGTATGAAAAAGGGGTGAGCAAATTTTTAGGGTGGAACTAGAACTGATGGGTACCTGGGGTGTCGGTTTTGGTTCCGGTTCCAAATTTGGTGGAACCGACATTGTGCGGGTCTAATTCTAGTTTCACCATTTTAGGAACCAGACCTAGAGTGGAAACCAGAACCGAAACCAAGGTCTAGGTGCTCAGGGTGGAACCGACAGGTACCCAGGATGTATTTGTAATTTTTGTAAATAGTTGCGGCATATTTATAATTTTCACAAGGTATATTTTTCATTTTTGCGAACATGAGGGGTGTATTGTAATTTTGCATGAACAGTATCAGGTTCCTGACATTTAGGAACCGAAACCGACCAAGTCTGGTTTTAGTTCCTAAATCCTATGAATCGTTGAGTGCAGATTCGGGTCTAGGTCCTAGTCCAATTCCAAGGGATTGGACCAGTTACTCGAAACCGCTCACCCCTAAAAACAATAGAGATTGTGTGTGAGAGTGAAACTTGTCTGCATATTATGTTTTAAATATTTTGTTAATTATAATATAGTTTCTATTAACATAAATGAGTCAAAGTCAGTTGTGCTATACACTGGACTTATATAATAATCTATTGTTAGTGTCTATTAAGTCCATGTCATCATTCTCTTAGTGTGTTGAGTGAACTGTTGTGTTTGTTCTGTTGTTTTAAGCCTCTTAACTTGAGTATATAAACGACTATACAGTCTGTTCTTTGGTGTATTCAGTTTTAATAAAATTGAGAGAATTTCCAGATTTCTAAACTTCTTTAGTCTCTCTAAGTTTTGACTTATTTGAATTTTGAAATTGACCTTATGTTAAAATTTTTAGTTTCTCCTAATCTAAAATGATAAAAAATACCAAGCACCAAACTTTCGTGAAATTGTCCCTAACATAAATATGAAATATATTATTTAGCTTGTGAAAATGAACAGTGAGCAAGAACAAGAAATAGAGAGAGGAATTCGAGAAAATTCTAAAGTATCAAATCAGTATTTTATTTTCGTTTTTAACTGAATACTGAGAGGGAAGAGAGACTGCAATTATATGTTTGTTAACAACAATTGAACTTCAGGTCCTACTTTTGCTTGAAACGACAGCGTCCTGTATTATTGACAACCTAAGGTCAACTACTTCAACTTTTATAAAATTCTGCATCGACCCTTTAACTTTGCATGGTCAACATAACTAACATATTCAATTGGGTTTATAGTGTTAAATTTACGAATATGTATGCCACTCATTCATCGTATTGTACTAAATAATAAGGTCATTGTCATGCACTACTTGCTCATAGATATTAGAGCCGTGCTTGAATATTGACATGGGTATCTCTTACTCATCTTAGTCTGATATCAAATTATTATAACAAAAAAGAAATATAGAAAAAATACAAACACAGTACTGTTGTTATTATTACTACAAAGTTGAACAGAAAATAATTATCATGGCTATGTAAATTTACGTACCTGAACGATCATGGAGCTGGTAAAAGTCCCAAGAAGTAATTATGAGATCCCTTTCGGCCATTTTGGGGTTCACCATGGTGCAATAAGTTTACCTTTGTTGACCAAATATTAATCTCTGGTCCTTTATAGAATGTGAAGATCATCGCCCCTCCTATTCCCATTATTGTACCCAAGATCTTGGCCTTTCCACTTCGAGTCCCTAGTCTGACATTCTCCATTCTGATCATGGAAAGGCACGAGACCATATGGTTATGAAATTGAAAGTCAAATATATAATTTGTTAAAGTTAAATTACATAGCAATGGCTTTGCGATGAAGTGGACTACCAGAAACATAATATGCCCGTAAGGCATCTTTGAAAGGACAAAAGAGGTAATTAAAGAGAGTCAAAATATGTCCGTAAGATATTTTTAAGAGGATAAGAGAAGAATTGAAAGGGCAAGACAGACAATTGAAATGATCAGAATATACCCGAAAGATATCTGAAAGATATCTAAGAGGAATTTAATTTAATTGTATTGAGTTATTGTAAATTATATGTGAATACACAACCTATTTATACAAAAGTATAATAGTTATGTAATGATAAATTATATGTGAATACACAACCTATTTATATAAAAGTATAATAGTTATGTAATGATATAAAATATTATAATAATGATGAAATCTTGCATCAAAGGACATAGAATAATATCTAAAATACAATAGAAATGAGAATAATGTCGCGTATTTTCATTCTATATTTCCATGTCAACACATTCATTAAGCCCAAATTTAATTGAACAAGTTGTTATAACTTGTTTTCAACTCTATAACTGGTTTTATTTTGTTACCTTCAATTTCAACTTTAAAACGCCCGAATATATGCATAGCAGTTTAATAATACTATTTGAACTGGGACTGAGAGTTTTATAAAAACCTTTGAATTAATATTTCAACTATATATTTCAAGCTGTTGGAACCTTAAGAGTTGATAGGATTACGGTTATTAAAAAAAAGATAAATTTTATGATCTGCTTAAGATTTGTTGACCTTCATTATTCCATGTGAAATGGAAAAGGATATAGATTTGTATGGTCAACAGTTGGTCAAAGACAATCAATGACCGGTCAAAGGTGGTCAACGACCGGTCAATAGTAATCAACAAATATCGAAGATTTACAAATACTTATTTCAATAATCATTAATTATGAAATGATAAACATTGAAATAAAAATCTTGAAAAGAAAAAAAATATAGAAAATGGAAATTCAAAGAATCAAAATGGGGTTAAAAATGAAATTTCGTTGGATTTCTTACCCTTAAAATTATGATTCCTTATAAATTTTTGAGGCCAATATTAATTAATTTAATTAAGGTTCTAATCTCCCTAGGGCCTGCCTAGCCCTTCCGGGCCTTCCGAGGCCCAAAATCTGATGAAACTACAGCAATTGGGCACCCTTGTAGGTGAAAGCATGTCCTTTTTTTAATATTTGTTTATATTCAAGGTAAATCCTACGAATATAGTGATGAAATCAACACAACTTCTCAATGGAGTGATGACTCATCGTAGATGAAAGACTTGAATAAAATGTTTAAAGTAGTTTGTGATCAGTTAACATGATGGACATTTCCAAATTACAATCCGAGTTAACATTTCCGGTTCTTTTTCTTTTTTTGCAGGTGATCTAGTAACAAGATTGGAAAATTAAGTTCATTAACACCAACATGGCTAGAGATTTGGACAAATTCTGAAGAGATTTAAGGCCAGAAACCGTTAGATCATTGCTTCAAAAAACTCGATGAATTTGTTGTGATGATAAGAGGAATGTAAAGCCTGGAAATTGCAATGACAGGGCAGCAAGGTAGGCACAAGTATTGGGACAGTTTCTTTATCCAAAGCGAATTAATTTTTTCACCATCGCTTCTTCGTTTATGATAGGCTGTTGAATGGTGTTTGTTACAAAAATTTTCTAATTGAACAGTTAGTATTGTGGTTGTGAGGTCTTCTTAAATAACAAGAGTCAAAGGCTACAAATGAGAACTTCACTGTTTGGAGTTTATGTGCATAACGTGGAAGTGTTAAAGAAAGTGAGTGAAGAGTG